TTATTGACTCATCTAGGTCACTGGGAAGTTACCTGAGAAACTGAAAATGTGCATGAGTTTCCTGTGTGGGCCTCCCCACCCGCCCCAACCAGACCCAAAGCCAAAGCTGCTTTGTCTCTGAGCTTTGACAAAGGGCACGAAGACAAATGTCGCCGAGAAGGGAGGAAATGGCCAGCTTCAGAGCCCTGGAGAAACTGCACGTGGCTCAACAGGCAAATGGTTGTTTCCTTCAGCAGAACCTTCCAGAAAACAAAGCTACCCAGAACTCCCAGCCAGGGGAACCACCTCTACTGTCCCTGTGTGTTCAGACCCAAGACTGTGTTGCAAGGTGTCCCAATTAGCCTCTGTCTTTAAAAGCTCGCCCTGCGAAGTGGAATTCCACAAAGGGCTCTTGCTCTTTTTCTGGCCTCTTTATGGCCACTGACAAAGGATCATCAGACCATCAGATGGGCCCATGAGCTCAGGGCCTCCCATGCCCCATATGGGGTCCTATAGTTCTACCTGGGCCAAGGCTGGACCCCCAGCCTAGACTACCCTTTCCCTGCTCTACCCTCCCCATCTTCTCTGCCAAGTCCTGCGGGGAGCGTTTTCTCCTAGAGCAGACAGAAGTTGACCAAGTAATTGCCATTTTAGGGAACTGAGTAGCTTCGATAAGTAGCCATCATTAACTCCTAACTGCCTGCTCGGCGTGACTGGGCCACCCACTTGCCACGGGTTATTTAATGGAGTCTGCAGTGCTGCTTTTTGTTGATAGGCATTGCAACTGTCCTCAATTTGCAGATGAGGAAACTGAGGCTCAATAGAGAAGCTCTGTATGCTATTTGACCAAAGCCAGGAGAGACAAGAAGGAATAGGCCCCACGGTGTCCCCGAACACGCCCCACTTTCAGACTCCCTGTCTGTGCCCTTCTAATAGGGACTGCTCTTAAACACCCAGCCAGGCCCCACCTCTCTATGAAGGCCTGTGTGTGTGCACGGGCTATAAGTCCTCCTCTGTCCCAGCACGAGGCCGGCCTTGCTGCCCCTGTAAGGGACTACATCACTTTTAAGCACACCTTCCACACCTATGTCCATAAGACAGAAAAATCTCCCTGCTGCAGGTTTTTGCCCTTTTAAAATGTAAGCATCTCACTCAACAAGACCCTGTCTCAAAATAAAAACAAAATGGGCTGGAGATGTGGCTCAGTGGTTGAGGACCCCTGGGTCTAATGCTCTGCTACCAAAACAAGACAAAACTGAAGCATCTCAAAATTGCCATTTTGTTGTTCTCAAAATTTTCTCAGTGTGCAAATGAATTAAATAGCAAATGGTACAAATGTGATATTTAGATAGTATTTTTTTTCACATTTAAAAAAATAGTTTCAAAATGCCTGGGCAGTTTTAGATCTGAAACTCTATCTCAGGAGACCTGATTCTTCAACAGCCTGGAGAGCAGCCAGGATCCTTGTACCACAGAGTCCTACAGGTCAGGAGCGTGGGACTTCCTGATACACACCATTAGGGACTACGGTGCATCCCAATCCCCCTACCCGGCATTCACAGGTTGAAATCCCAATCCCCAGTCCCTCAGAAGGTGAATATTTGGACCTTTAGATAGACTGAGATATTGGTGTAGGCCTGAATCCAATGTTCCTGATATCCCTTTAGGAGGAGATCAGGACAAAGACATACCCAGGAACAGCCATTCGTGGACAGGGAGGAGACCGCTACCCACAAGGCAAGGAGAGAGACCTCAGGAAAAACCAACCCTGCCAACACCTTCACCTCAGATGTCTGGCCTCCAGAACCAGGAGGAACACATTTCTGTCATTCACACCACTGAGTCTGTGGTATTTTGATCTGGCAGCCTGAACTGACCAACACAGATTTCACACGGTGGCCGATGCCATGGCCGGTTTAATCCATGGCTTTTTAAAGTCTTCAGTTGGGCTAGAAGAAGTGTTTGGATAGATATACACTTTTTAAAACAGTGGCAAACTGGTGCCCATGAAGCAGCGGGTTGCACACGCTAGATCTCATATTCTACAGTCCCCTTTGAAAGGCCCCAGAAGACTGGAGTCACCCAGAAGCAAGCGACAAGTAGTGTTGCTGAGATTTCTACCTGTGGTTCTAGGAACTCAGAGGCACCTCGGCATTCAGACTTTGCATAGACCACTAAGCCACTTCTAAGAACCAGGGTACCTGAGGCATCTTGCAAAAATATGTATGTGCTGGGGCTTTTCCTCTCCACACCTACCGCAGCCCTTTGGGCCAATACATCACCCCTTTCTAGGGGATCAAAGTTGGGGTTCTGCAAGAATTTTATGTTACAAACCACACGTGACCATTCCAGGGAATCTCAATAGCATCTTATCTTCTTTCCTAAGCAAACCAAGTGAGGACCTGGTGTGGTGTGATAGAGAAGAGCTGCACTCTCTGTGGTAGACCACACTCATTTCGCGTGCCAGTGTCTCAGACGCTGGCCTGACTCTCACGAGGAAGGGAACAATGGTTTGCTGGGTCCCACATCTCTCTTTCCCCCCATTTCCACATGGGTATCTGGCTAAAAATGAGTTACGAGTTTCCTCCTGTGAGAATTGCGGGGACTGATAAAGGACCATCCCAGGAAGAAAACAAGACGCTGGGCCGGCTCTCAGTTGCCGCTGGGAGGGAACACAGGCTATAAATTACAGGAGGAGAAGTGACCGCACGGGGCACTGCCGGTGGCCAGGCTGTGGGAACAGGGAGAACTGTGGGGGAGAACAATTCACTAGAGGGGAGAGGGTTACTTCTAGCATCTGAGGCTAAGGTGGTGTCTAAACGCTACCAAAAGAAAGAAAGAAAGAGAGAGAGAGAGAGAGAGAGAGAGAGAGAGAGAGAGAGACGGAGAGAGAAAATGAAATTTGCCACCTCTCTGCCTCGGTGAGTGGTGTGGACAGTGAATCTGGACAATTAACACCCTTGTATTCTTGTATTGATGGATCATTGAGATGAAATTAACCAGGAAGCAGCCACAATTTCACTGGACCCCCAGAAACTAAATCTCCATATTATATTATCAGGTTAGAGATTCCAACCCCAGGTTCTTTTAGCCAGGGGGAAGGACAAAGACCTTCACAGATGAGCCCTTCTGAGCCCTGCGCTGCCGGGGGTGGCCCCTCGAAAGCTGGCTGGCCCTTGTTCCTCAAGTCGGGTGGTTGGGGTGGCTCTCCAGGGGCACAGCAGTCCTGAGGCTCAGCTGGGACTGGGCTCCTCCTATTTCCTGGTGTCTGCAAAGGTCACCATGTCCCCTAATTATCTTTGCTGTTGGGACAGTAAGAACAGCTCTAAGAGCCAGCACTACAGGCTGCCCGCCAACCTTACCGCCCAAGGGAATGTTCAAAAATTTCCTGAATCTGCTTTCCTGAGTTGATAAAATAGGAAACAATAAATGTTTGGAGGGGGTACTGAAAGCGGAGTAAACGCAGGAAGATCTCTTTTCTGTTATTCTACAAATATTGCTTCCTTTGCCTGTTAGCAGCCCAGAGGAAATGCAGCGAGGGGGCAGATCGCAGCTTTGCACCAGGGCCCGGTGTCTGCTGTGCCCGCAGCACGACTCTGCAAGGCGTGTGACTCACTCGAGTCCGCATGATTCAACTTCACTACATTTCCTCAGCTGCCAGGAAAGGAGCACTTGAAAACCTTTTAATTTGAAGGTTGGAATCAGTTAATGACTTGCTTTCCTCCCTTCTCCCTCTATCCTCCCCATCACCCCACTGCGCGCACACTCACAGGAACACGCGGACGCGCACGCGCACGCGCACAGCTCTGCCAAGTTTTTAAATTTCAGGGACCCGGAAGCACAGAAGCTCTGTGGCATTCACAATGGCATTTGTGGTGACACAGTGGCTGGCAAACCCTCTGCATTCCCCTGCACACTTGACTGTATGAATAAATAATGAGTCACAGATACTGTTTGGGTGTGCTTGAGAGTTTGTAGCCAGAAAATTAATTATTCCCCCATCCCATCCCACTCCACCCGGGCTCTGCCAAACCATCAAGCCACACTGAACATCGGTCAAAGTGTGTGCCTTGACACACTGTGAAGCCTTCGTGACATTTTTACGGCATTATTTTTGTCTAAGCATAGCCTTCTTTTACCACTAAAGATACACAGTACACACATATGCACACACAGCCACTCATGGCTCAACCCCAGCTTTGCATACTTTAAGATACTGGGTACAAAAAATGCAGACAGGTTTTGCACACTAACTGAGCCTCTTTGTAAGCACGCAGTCTAACGATTTTAGCTGCGAGAATGCTTGACTTAGGAGACGTCCTCATTGCTCTTTTTGACAGAGACCTCATAGGCGACAACTTGCCTTCTTCCTCTCTTGAAAGACACTGGTTGCCTCTTTGCAATGAGGCTACAAGGGAAAACACAGCATAACCCCAATCTGATGGTTTAACCTAAGCACATCAGCCCGGAGGTTCCTGGGCTCTGCTTTTGGGGACAGCAGAGCTGCCACAATGGCCGTGGTTGAAGGCGTATCCATCAGCCTCCTCCAGCCCACACTGGCTCCAGCCCTCCCAGCCGGCTCAGTACACGTGCCTGCTGAGCCCCGGGGCAGGCTGCAGCCTGGGCCACACAGCAAGCTGAGTTAAGCATAACTCAGACAGACTCATTCCACCCCACATGGGAACCGCCACCAAAAGCCAGGGAGCTTCGTCAAGCCTCCTAATCTCTAGGACTTTAAGCAAGAACATCACAACTTCCCCGCACTTGACAGCTCTCACACACTGACCGAACACTTCAACAGCTTAACTAAGCATTTCTTCAAACATTTCTGAAGAGCTGCCTTCTGGTGAATAAGTAATCCAATAGCCTGGTAATCACACGCCTCGGTCTGAATTCCTCCCACCCCACCGACAGAGAACCGCCGGCTCCGAGGTGCATCTGCACCGAGGTCCAACAGGCTGCCATTTCCTTACACGCAGAGCTGAGCAAAAGTAGATATTAAAAGACCAGCGGGTACTCACCTCTCATGAAGCACTGTGGGTACGAAGGAAATGACTCAAATATGCTGTCTGAAGCCATCGCTTCCTTCTGAAAATGTACCCTCTTCTGAAGGCAGGGGATTCAATGATTTACCTTAAGAGCGAAAACCAAGAAAGGTCACTGTTTCAACCTCACCTCTGCCCATGGCTCCTTGCATCTCTTTTTCCTCCCCCTCCACACCACTGGGACTCCCCAAGCCCTATGAAAAATGTACCTTCGCGAAAACAAATATTCAAATTGTTAAAGATTAAGAAGGGGGGAAAAAAAGCGCCGCTTTGGCTGTGGGTTGAGGATGCTCACCACTCTGCGAAACCCTGTGGTTTGCATTCAGTGTGATTCGTCCTGCCTGCTGACCACTATGCCGGGCTCAGACTTCTGACACTGCCAGCCTACCCAACTTGTGGTTCTGTGGTTGTTTATGAGGCCCAAAGAAGTTTTCACACAACCCAAATTACAAATTTAACTGTTCCCCTTTCCACAGCTCATGTTAATTGGTTCTTGCCAATCATGTGACTTAAGTGATGTCAATTTTTTTTTTTTTTTTTAACTTTCTGAGCAATGTCCCTCCTTCTCTCCACCTGCCCTCCCCCAGGCTGGGTAAGAAAATAGTCGAGTGCAGTTTGCAAGAGAGGGAATGTAAAAAAGTGACTCAGTCTCTTATTATATCTCCATGCTCTTTGCTGATTTAGTATAGCTCGGCTCCTGATGTTCTTATTTGTGGTTTTTGGAACAACTGATTATTTTGATAAAGATTTCATTGCTGCTTATTCAATAGTAATTCAATGCTGGCATCAAGCTGCTGCTTAGACAGGATGTGGCTGCCATCATCTGAAATGCTGGGCATTAGCTCCGGGAGAGAGTTCAGTCCTTGGTAAAGACTATAATGGCATAAGTGAAACTATAAAAGGGAAAAATAAATAAAAGGAAATGTTTTGGTGAGAGTCTGACCCCCTAAAAGGGGCTAGCAACTTACTGCTACTTTAAAGCCTGAAAAAAAGGAAAGCATTTTAATTTTGAAATGAAAAGATGATTTTAATAAAACCCAAATTATGTGGTTTGGGGCTGGGGCTGTAGCTCAGTGGTAGAGTGCTTGCCTAGCATGCATGAGTCCCTGGGTTCAATCCTGAACACCGCAGAACAACAACAACAACATGTTGTGGTTTTACTCCCGCATTTCTTCAAGTGAAGAGATAAATCATAGCAGCTCTTAGCAGCCACATCTACACCCACACTCACACACCAAGTAGGAAGCTACAGGAAAACAAAGGAAGAATGTCTGCATTCTGGGATGAAACAGTGGTTCTTCTGTAACTGTCTGTTTTCCCCCCAGTCGAGGTCTGACTACGGCAGACCTTGCTCATTGTTCAAGTTCAGCTCAGATCAATAGGCTAATTCGCACCTGCAGGTCCCACTCCACTTTGAGCCCCTTGAGACTGCCCCTCCTCATGGGGCTGCCCAGGGAACATCACACAGTTCATCTTCTGCCTTAGGAAGCCAGGCTTGTTTGGAGGAGCTAAAAAATAGGACAATCCTGGTGGGAGTGACCCATTCAGCTCACATATATTTATGTGCTTCTTCTACCCCTTGGTTTTACCTGCTGACAAACAAAGCACATTCTCTTTGTCGTTCCAGGAGGAAGAACGACTTTCCTTTCATAATTAATTTCTTCCTTTCAGTCTGATCTACATACACCCTCGACTCTGCATAAGTCAAGTCTTGACACACACTTGATAGAAACAGTGAGATGAGACGAATCCAGCTTGGCTTCCCAGGAACCACCAGCAAAGGTGTTTTGAAAACTCCGAACCCCCAAATAATCCCTTGCCTCATCTTGGTGCAGGTTGTTCTGCGCACAGAGACCTACTGCGATGTCACCTTCGATGGCACAGTTCTTTCAAAAGGAGCAGACATAAGTTTTACTTACTCCTGTTTTGACCCAAGCAGGAATTGAAACTCTAGAGACTGCTTTCTCTGAGACTGCTGAGAAGTCAGCTCGACAATGTCACACTTTGCTCACATTTAATAGAGTGTAATGCTTGAATTTCTGTTAGGAAGCTCATTGATATCTGAACGCAGTGCTTCTGAAAGCAAGTCCGCGGTTGACAAGATCCACTCATGTTCCTGTGCTGTTAGAGTCCCTAAAATGTCAAGTCTGAGTCAAGGCCCCACTGGGTTCTGTTCTCCCTTCTCCACTGAGGGTGGGGGGCTTCTGGGAGCTGAGGCCCGGTGACTATAGCTGCCATCCCAAAGTCGACTCGGACTTAATTATGACAGAGAAATTCAAGTGGGGATGCACGCCGAGTAATCTGGAGACTATTTCATTTTAGAAAATCCCTGGATGATTTCAGCCTAGGATTCTAGATGCCTGAGCAGAGGGTTTGGATATGTTGGCTTCTCTCTGTGGCCTAGTTATAGGCTACGTGTCTTTCTCGGTGGGGCCTTCAGAGGACAGATCAGAATTTGCAGAAGGCCGTGAGGCTGGGGCTGGCCAAGGGCTCGCTGCACACATGTGTCTCTGGCTGAGTTTCCGGCAGGCAGCAGGGGGCAGAGCACAAAGGCCTCACCAGGCCGGGCCCTGCACTGCCTTCCCTGGGCTCTGTGGCCACAGCAGCCGCAGCTACCTTCACAGCCTGTGAGGCAACTGTGGGGCTTTCCTGGGCCTTGTCCAGGTCCTGACAGGGAGACTCAGCCGGCTGCTGGTGAACTTGGCCTTCCTGCTTCCTTAGGAGCCTGAGCCGCAAATACTCATCTGTCATCAATGAACAGCCTGGAGAAATACTTCATCACATCTTCACCAGGACTGCTTAGGATTCTTTAAGTCTATGCACGGACCCAACCCTCCAAGTCTATGCACGGACCCAACCCTCCAAGTCTATGCACGGACCCTTCCTGCGAGTGGCTCAGATGGTGTCCTGAGCTGCTGGCTTGAGAATTGTCCCCGAGTGGCTACAGGGAACTGCGGCTTTGCCAAGTAATTGGATGGCAGTTTTCATCCTTGCTAGGGTTAGCTACAGCTTCTAAATGCCACCCTTGGGGGTGGGGTGAGGAATATGCTCAGGTGTCTTTTTAAATGGCCCTATAAAAATACCAGCAAAGGTTGAAAGATGCATAGTTGCATCACCCTATAATTAATGCACAGAGCTGTGTGGGCAATCCAATCCAATTAAAGTACTCTCTGGTCTGCATTTTTATCGCCATTACTACATGCTGCCTCTGAGCTCCACAGGTTGATGATAAAACCTTCTCTGGCCAGGAAATGGAGGTAAATAGGATGCATTTTATTATTTTCTAAATCTGTGTTTTCCAACAGAGGCGCTAACTTGGAAGGTTCCATGATAGGCAAACCATGAGCTCAGAGATGATTCTGAAATCGAGGCATAGGAAGACATTGAAGCTTCATGGACTGAGCATACCTTGCTCTTGGCTAATCCAAGGGTTTGAGGTAACTGGACAGCCCAAAGTGTCCACCTGTTGCAGATTTCTCCTTAGACACTTGGGATGGGTGTCCAGGTGAGGCAGGTCTCCCTTCTGCCCAGGTCTTTCCCTCCTCCAGGTATAATTCAAATTTAAGCCACTAGAAGAACTCACCTGACAGCCAAGCAAGATCTTCACATGTATTTTTTTTTCCTGTAGATGAAAAACTATCGTTCTTTGGGAAAATTGAATATAAAAAGGAAAACATTGAATTAACCCATCAAATCAACGTGGTCTATTGAAATGAAACACTGTTTACTGAGAATTGTTTCAAGTGGATGTGTTTAAGCCTCTTTGCACTGTACCTGAGGACTGTGAGCTGGCAGCAGTGACACCATCTGGCACTTGCTAGTTATCAGGATCCTGGGCTCCATCCTAGGCCTCTTGAATCAGAGCCTGCATTTGTGCAAGATCTACAGGGGACCCCTGTGCCCATCAAAGTGGGGGATACTCGCTCTGAGGGAAGCAAGCATTGCGCGTGCTGGAATTTAGTAAGGAAAGAAAGAGCAAGGTGCTAATTGTTGACATTCTTGAAGATCTCCTCTTTCCCCAAGTTTTCTGAAGCATTTGACTTTAAAAGCATCCGACTTGGCATGACTTTTTAAGTCCTGGATGTTTCTAGACAGCAGAAACCCACAGGAGGTATGGCCCATGTTCCTCCACAGTGAGCGTTCTGGGGTCGTCACTTGGACCACTCATCTCATGCTATGTTAAGGTCAACTTTTCAGTTCAGGGTCTGACACTATGTGGGGGGCACCCCTGTGTGCCGTGTTGCTGGTGGCCAGGGGCTAGACTCAGGGGGCTTTTCCTGCAGGGACACTGGACTCTCAGTTTCCACCTACTTTGCAGTTTGGAAACACGTGGATTCGTCCTGTGAGTTCTTCCAGACACACACCCCATATCTGGGAGGCAGGCAGCATTGCAGGTGGTCTTGGGGTCCCATGGAGCTCTTCTCCTCCCCAGGGGGTTCCTGCCCCTGTTCTCCAGTGACCAGTGTGCACATGTCATGCCCTGACCTTGCTCCAAAAGGAGCGCTTGCCACTCGTAGCAGCCAGACCTTCCAAGGTCCAGAGGCTCCCAGGAGTTGGCTCCTTCTCTTAGATGCATCTGGATCGTTTCAGGTTTGCTGTGGGCCAGAAAGCTTGTTTGGAATAGTTTCTTCTTACAGACTTTTGGCCCTTCTGTTTCTGGTGCCATTTGAAACCAGGAGGGTAAAACTGGGAAACTTAAACAAACCCTCTTTGAATGCTAGAAAGGCTCCGGCATTCGAGGTTTGGTCAAGTGATGGAAAACATTCTGAGTTTGTACTGAACTTTCCAACCAGTTTCTCCAACCTTGAGGCTAATTTTAGTAGGGTACCCACATGGGGGAAAGCAAAGGGAAATGAGGAAAGGGCTCTGGGTTGGAGAAGCCAGAACTCACATTGGTTGGATAATGTAACACTCAGTACTTCAGTTTAGGTGGCAAATAATGGTTCATGTCCCAAGTATGATCAGAGCACTTGGCCTTAGGAACTTTGGACTTTTATTTTAATTGCTACTTCTTTTCCTGGTGGCAGGCAAATTAACCAACTTCCACATGACTATTTAGAAACCAAAGCATAATAGTACCTTTGTCACTTGGGTGCTGTGCGGATCAGTGAGTGTTTGGACTATGCAAAGTGGTTTTGAATGGACTAAGAAAGAGGTCTGTGGTTGTCATTTTAATATGGAAACATCTAACATGTGAATTTTAATACTTGCACTTGCCAGGTACCATGAAGACATGGTGTCAGGTTCCCACATTAGAGGTCCCGGTAAGAATGAGGTGAAAATAGTTGATGCTACAAAAATCCCGTGTTCATGACTTCAGTTTTGAATTCAGTGTTATTTTGAAATAATATCATATGGTCCTACAGATGCAGGCTGAAATTCTTTCAGAACCTCAAAATGTCAAAATTAAAAAGAAGTCAATTTTACAGA